TGAACAATGATTCGAGATATTTTTTTATAGCTTTTTTTAGTGTTTATCATGAAAAGGCACACTTTAAGGCATAATTTCATCTCTTTTGAAATGATAACGAAAAAATTAAACGTCAAATTCCTAAATTATCATAAAGACTCAAACACATGAGATGCATAACACTTTTTAAACGTTTGAAAGGAAGTGTTCAGTTTGATTCTAATGGGCCATAATATGTAGTCAATACTTATTTAATATGATTTGAATGCATATATACTTACAAAAATAAATATTTATATTGTTTATATTATAGAAAATTCCATATATGTCTCGTGTTTTTTAAATTTAAGCACTTAACATGCTAGTAAAATGAAAATAATATTCAAACTAATATTAATGAAATGTGTAGTATCTTTTTTATAATTTTAATGTTCAGGCTATTTAGCACGCACCAAGACTAATTTCACACATATCTAGTACTATTTTTCACCATTAAAAGTGATAACACTATCAATTAAGACTTGAATAAATGAGAAGATTCACGAGATATATTTGAAATTGAGTATTATTTATTATAGAACTCTTTAGATATTGGAGATTCATACGATCATGTTGCGAAAATATCGAAGATTAACTAGCACACAATTGTAAACAAAGAAAAAAAAGAACATGAATATTTAATTAGATTCGACTAGGCCTACTCCTCCAAGTAAAATCAAATTGTTATGAAAATATAGTGTATTAACCAGAAAAAAGTTAAAATATTTCACATTAATTCACACTTCTACAACAATAACCAAAGTTTAGGGGTCAAATATACAATACTCGCATCTTTTAAGATGGTAAAGAGTTTTTCATAAAATCCCTCATATTTAGACCCAATAACAATTCATTACTCATCAACAAAAACAAGAATTCAAAACCCTAGCTCCTCACTAAATCCGTCGTCTCTTCAAGTTTCTCTGTTGTGCAACTTTTCACCGTTGATAAAGAATCATTATTTGAGGTATGTTTTCTATATTCAAATTTGTTTTAGTTTCTTTTGATGTGTTAAAATATGTAAATTTTGTTTTTTATCTCTCTAATTTTACCCAATTGTGATGTATTGTTCTCTTTCGATCGATGTAATATGCTTCGATATAGAAAACCCATGTTGGATTCTGTGTTTCTGATTTGGGTTTCGTGTTCTTAGGAAAAAACACATCAATTCATTGTTTATGGCTCTTTTTGTTAAAAATTTTTGAAGCTTTGTTAGTTTTCTCAGAATGGAGGGTTAATTGAGCTGGGTTTACTCTGTTTTTATAGAATGTGGTTAACAATACAAAACCCATATTGCATTCGGTGTTTCTGATTTGGGTTTCGGGTTCCACATCTTTTGCTTAGGACAGTACACACAAATTCACTTTTTAATGTTTCTTTTTTTCTTTCTTGTTTAGAAATGAAGTGTTGTTGATTTTGAGAAGTTGTTATTCTTCCAGAGTTAGATGGTTAATTACTCGGGTTTTACTTTTTTGTATAAGGATTCTAGTTGTACTTTTTTCTTTCTTTCTTGGAGCTGATTGTGTTGTAAGAAAGTTGACGCAACGTTAGAAAAGATTGACTTTTACACGAAAGTGCTAAATCTTGGACCTTGATAGTTTGAAAAATGCCAATCCCGCTTTGTTCAGTTAAAGGAATGTTTTCTTTTAATTGAGGAGAAATCCTGGTTTGAAATATTGACTTGTAATTGATAGGGGAACAATAAGTTTAAATCTAGAGCCACATGAGCTGAGAAAGTGTGCACAACTAATTATGAAGACGTTTTATCGAACATCATTTGTACCTCATGATCTACTCGAATAGTTCTTTAGTCCCTTGGGATCTCCTAGAGCCCAGTCAGATTTATCTACTACTTACTTCTTAACTCGTTAACACTACTATCTATAGAGTTGCCTCTTAGTGAGATGAATATCAGGAAAATGCAAGGTCGTGCAAGTTTTGATCTTCTGCTATGGTATTTATAGTCGGGTCATAAATAAGAGGTCTTGAAAATATTAGAAACCAAAAGAGTTGTCCAGAATTGGCTGATGCGCAGGAGGGGCGTGGGGCTTTGATGGCTGAGCTTGCAGGTATATAATCAGAGTTCAGAAAAGCTCCTAAAGTCCAGGGTTTGAATCCTTTCTTGTGAAAGTTAAACAGTTCCACTTGTGGAGTGTGGTGGATAGGCCTGCCAAGGACGTAGCCAGTTAATTGGTTTTATGGTCTACTACTTAGCATAAGATTCACCACACTCTGCATGCAAAATTGTTTTAATATTTGAACTCTGAACTGCATGATATCTTCCTGGCTATGCTACTATCAAGTAGTAAAGAATATCTTTTCCGGGTACATGCTAGTAGCCCATTTATATTCTTGATGGCAGGCTTATAAGAACACTCTGAAATACAGTCATCTTAATAGTTGAATTATGACACCTATAAACTGCAAAGTAATTGTTTGTTGGAGACTCTAGGAAACCATTTGAATGTGTCAACAGTTAAAGTGCTTGCAGATGAAAAACTTGGTGCTATGTGATGGCTGTATTCTGTTCCTTCAATTTTCTTTACCATTGTGTATACTGTTTACTGCAACCCTTTATGTCAAACTACTCTGCTGTTGCTTGGGCAGTATGGTTGTATACTGGTTTTATAAGTTGTATCTTGATAATTTGCCGCTTTTGATATGCTACAGAGTAAGTAATTGAAAATGAGTGGAGCAGGAGAGAAGGGATCAACTACCACCAAGACTCCAGCAGATTTTCTCAAGTCTATTCGTGGACGACCTGTTGTTGTCAAATTGAACTCTGGTGTTGACTATCGAGGTTAGTCACTCTGATTTGCTTTTGCTTGTTCTTGTCGTTCTTTTAAACTGACTGTTCTCTTGCGTATGCATGTTGGTTATATGTAGTTTTGTACTCAATAACACGACAAAACTCTAGTGTCATGTATAAGGTTGTCGAATGTACTGTCCATTCCCTATTCAAGCTTTGCATTTAAATACTCTAATAATTTAGTAACAGAGCAGCAACTGATATAGTCCTTGAGATTTGATTTTTAACATAGAAAGGAAGTTCTATTGTGGTGACATTAAGTGTAGTATTTTTGACATTTCAAATGTTAATTGGTCAGTCTTGTGTAATATAGGTTACCGACATTTGTTATTGACTGTTAGTTGTCTGCATACATAGACTAAACTACAGACTGGGACTAATTTATGTGTAATAAGCATCTGACAGATGTTAAAAAGATATTCTCCTTCGTAGGTACAAATTGTTGTAAATTTACCTCAAAAGCTGGTGTTGATTGTAGGTATCTGTGACATGCAATTTATATCTATGAAGGAGAATCTATTTAGAGAAATTAAGAGTGTTTTTTCATCTGGCGTTCTCTTTCATTCACAGAGCAAAGAAAGCAGGCTTTTTGCCTACCCAAGGGATTGTTTCCCTGCAACCAATGCATGTGTAATGTGAAACTTATCCACCTATTTATCTTAGCCACCAGCGATAATAACTCTTGTGAACCACTCCAACTTTTTACCTGTGTGCTTACATCTTTAGGTAGAAGTTTTCTTGAGAAAGTAAATGCACTCTACCTAAAACCTGTGCTAGCCTTCACTTTCTTTGCTTATTGCTTATGCTTTTTTTTCCGGTGGTAGTTCATTTCTTCACAATTCATGACGACAAACTCAGCTTAATTACATTCTAAGTTTGTTATTGCTTGGTGCAGGTATCCTTGCCTGTTTAGATGGATACATGAATATAGCAATGGAGCAAACCGAAGAATATGTTAATGGGCAATTGAAGAACAAATATGGTGATGCCTTCATACGTGGAAATAACGGTAAGCAAAAAAAACTAGTTGCCAACCTTTGTTTAGTATGCCTGTGCCTCTAATGATCAGAATGTAATATTAAGAGTTTCTCTGCTTGTGCAGTGCTCTACATCAGCACATCAAAGAGGACACTAGGGGAGGGAGCTTAAATCACGCACAAGATTGACTGGCCTTAGTTATCCTGGCTACTTTGATTATGTAACTGGCCTTTCCTCAACATGTCCATGAAGTTTCCTCTTAATGTTGTAATTTGTGTAGGTTTTGATAGATCATGGAGGTTATCTTAATTGCTATTTCTTTATTGAGTCAATGACATTTTTCGCATTGCCAAGATCAAGAAGTAGCAGCTTTTCGTCATTGATTTGAGTTTTTGTTAAGCAGTTTGATGCTGACTTTATTTTGGATAATAGATGCATATATAATTTACTTGCCTTGAATTCTGCAAGAGTTAAGTTCTTCTTCTCTAACCTTGAGATTTCTCAATGGCTTTGCAATTTAGCAAATGGGAATATTTATATTTTCTATGAAGAATTTAGAATGTAGGATAGTTGCTACATCAAGATATTATGTTCTTTCTTTTTAGAAATAAAAAGGTATGAAAATGATTCTCCTTGCATGAAAGGCAAGTATATACACTGTTTAATCCCTCAAGTTTAGTAGTATAGTATAGTTGGTTGTACCAAAAGTACACAATTCTACTAATTGACCAGTCATAGATCTCTTTATCCTTTCTAAAGTGTCCTAGTCATAAATGGCTTTGGACTGTTATACTTTGAGTCGATGGTCTATCGTGAACAATTTCTCTACCTTTAAGGCAGGGATACATTTTATGTTCATTCTATGTTCTCTGGACCTCACGATCTATTGAAAACTGCCTCTCTACCTTTGAGGTAGGGGTATGTTTTGCATTCATTTTATATTCTTCGGACCTCATGGTCTATCGAAAACAACCTTTCTACTTTTGAGGTAGGTATAAGTTTAGTGTTCATTCTATATTCTCCTGACCTAATGGTCTATCGAAAACAGTTTCTCTACCTTTGAGGTAAGGATAAAGTTCATGTTCACTCTATATTCTCTGGACCTTAATGTTCACTCTACTCTATATTCTCCGGACCTCACTTTATGAAAATTTTATATATTTTAGTAACTTCATGAAAAGTTTTGCCCATAGATATACTATTCCTACCTTCCAAGCCTCATTTCACATCCAAATAGATCTCTTTCCAAATATATAATACATAAATGTTTTCCTCTTGAGCTTTCTCCACCATTATTACCTTATTTTTTCTTTATCTTCAAATTATGGTGTTCAAGAAAATTGGTGAAGGAGTTCTCCATGTTATGAGTGAAGCCATCAACATACTTGGTCTACCTTTCCAAGGTTTGGTTTTCATTCAATCTTGGTATTTACTAAACTAACTAATCGAGATACATAATATATGATTTATTAAGGGGAAAACGCTCAGAGATACAATCATATAATTTCAAGATTTCTTGTATTCGTATTCATCGTGTTATGTAGAGTGATCATATATAATATGTTAATATTATAATTCTTTTAATGTTTTTTGTAATTTATTTTGCAGGAAGAGACGAAGAAATTGAAGATGAAATAATAGAACTATGTTATGACAAATATTTTAGAACCACAATGGCTGATTTTTACCATTCAATTTGCGATGCGGTCGAGTAAAATAGTTATTCATATTTACCCAAATTCATATATTATAGTCTAATATTGCCTTTAATCAATCACAAGGAAAAAATAAAAAGACAAAAAAAAAACTAACTTTTTTTTTCTTTTTTAGAGAAATTAATAGAAGGAAGGGACGTACACAATTCAAGATTCCAAGCACTGCAGCTATAAAACGAGTATATCTGGTAAGTTATTTTGTGATTTTACTGTTATAGTGGATAAAATTCGATTATTTATATGACATTAAAAATAATAGAAATTAACCGTAGTAGAAATAATTTTTCAGAAGATAGAAAAATAGTTTTTCCCTAAGCACTTTTGGAACCTTACCTAAATATACAAATTGATGCTCTAATATTAGCATATCGAAAACAAACAAAACTACTACTATCCAAAAGTACTTGACTGAAAATGCTATTATAAACCGTTATATTGAGTAAAGTTCAATGACCATAAGTGACTATTTAATTACCCCTCTTATCATTACTAAAAAGTAATTCATAAACCAAAACTTAATTCTTTTTTTATTTTTTTTTGGCAGAAGCACACTGTGAAAGGAAAGAAAATGACAAAGGAAAAATTTGGATTATGTATGCATGAACTATATGGTGAAAGTGGAATTACTGGATTTGGAGCAAAAGAAACATTATATTATTTATTTGGAGTACCAGCCACAGCATTATTCATCAAAAATAGAATAAAACCACAATCAATTTCTGATAATGATTTTATTCCTGGTGTTACTTCTGCTACTGTACTTATTCTTTCTAAATTTAATAAGATCTAAAAAATTAATTTCTTGAAATTTTTAATGATCAATGTGTATGTATATACAATTGCAATGAATTTTACTCTTGTTATTCGATTCCAGTTATCTGTTTAAGTTGTATGCATTGATGATATTATAAAACATATTTTACACAATCATGTTATATATGCTTTAGTTAGGAGTAAATATATATGATATTACCAAGAGTAGATAAGGCATATCTAGGATTTTTAGTTTATCGGTTTTAGATATTTAGAAAACGCAGCTCACTGGGTTCTTTGGATAAATAATTACTTATACATGATTTGATCCAAAGTTGCTGAGTTCTATATAACCCGTAGGCAAAACTCTAGTTCGGCCCCGGCAAGAAATGTGGAGAGATAGATAGAAATAGGATAGTTCCTCCTTTAATTTGAATTCACAGATTCAAATTGTTATGATAGAAAAAAATTTCTTTAATAAACCTTACACTACACGAATTTAGATGAGTTGAAACATTATTGTGACTTGCGAGTACTAAACACCCAATGAGAAATGAAACAAAGAAAATATAAAGTGGTAACTTTATAAATGTGACAACTAATCTGCTATCATAGGTTAAACTAAAAACTTTCATAATACAATATATGTAACTTAAATCTTAGCCTGTTAATTAAAGGGTTAATTAGATATTTTCAAGAGAAGTTAATGATCTTCTAATATGGAAAAATTAGATAACAATAAACTCTCTCATCCCTCCAAATGTCATAAAACTTCAATTTCTTAGCTGTTTTAACGCTAATTTTAGCTGAAAAAGTCTTTCCTCTGAACCATCCAAATAACACAAAAAATGAAAGAAAAATAAACCTTTGTTGACCCAAAATTTATACCAAAAAAATCTTCATACATACATATATATGAAGTCCAATTTTTTTTATTTTTTTTTTGGATTTTCACGTAGTGTCCGATGTTCATATTAGAGTCCAACTATTCTGAATCACGCATTACATGACTCATTCTGAATATAACACTCACAACATGATTTTCTCCATACTCAAAGTTCGAACTCGAGACATCATATCCCGCCTATTCTTATAATATAAATATTTTCAATCCATCCACTAGTTGATTGTTCTTCCAATTGCATAGGAGTATTTTTTTCTAATGAATTAGACTATAGTAGGCCCCATTTTGACCTGCACTCTCACATGTTTAAGTCCTTATTATCCCAAGTAGACAATTTATATTTTTTTTATATACATATATTCCATGAATCATAATTATTAA